ACCTGATCCCAAGGCTTCCCACACCCTAGAATGTTCTGAGCTCTTCAGGCCTCATTCCTCCCTCTTGCTGCGTCTGCCTCGCCCTTTCCTCAAGGTGGTTGTTGAAGGCATCCCGGGCAGCTTGTTTCTGGGTCTCTGCCTACCTTCAGATGCTCTCCCGGGCCCGTCCCAGTTGCATTCCGCGCGGCTGCTGCTGGCCTGTACCCGGGCCCGGAGACCACCACCACACGCTCACTTTTGCCAGGCTTAATGACAAGTTCACACTGCTACTTTTGAAATTGCCGCCTTTAAGCTGCTTTTAGTTATGCGGTGTTGGGCGCGTCGCTGTGATTTATTTTGCAGGTTTCTAGTCTGTATAGTGAGGGCAGTTGTTAGTTCAGGATTGTGAAGATCAGTTGAGATAGTTACGATGGTTAGCATGCTCTTCTCTCACGGTTCATCCATCTTGCAGCTTACAGAGTGTCTTCAGGTGTCATCGTTTATTAAAACACGTAAATTCGAATTGACTCATCCTAGGGTTTGGCAGGCTGAAGGCCAGAGATAAGAATTGACTAGGCAAAGCCAATGCAGGATGTTAGGCAGAACTCCGATTTAAATGTATATTCTTTACATATCCCGCAAAAATGTACTTCTGAGTTTGATTGCCATCCTCCTTCGGGGATTTATGTAATAAACTATTAGAATTGTATAAGAAAAAAATATAAAAATGCTCATGTGTTTACGCCCTGCATGATTCTCAGTAGTGATGAAATAAGATTCAGAATTTTTTTTAAAAAAGTTGTAGGAACTTAAGTGGTAAAAGTTTGTATAATCTTTGTGTTTTCTATGCCCGGATTTTTAGGGCATTCACCAACTTGTAGTTACCATTTGTGGCAGAAGTTCGTTATGAAATAGTGCTGTTTTGTTAATCACATAGAGTGCCATTGGCAGTGTTTTCTAAAGCTGGTAACATGGAAGAGCCTAGAGGAATGGCATGCTCAGACTTCAGCATGCTTCAGAGGTGGTAGAATAAGACTGGTTAAAATGCACAATATTTGGTCCCTTTCCTTTAACTTCTGATGTGCTTCCAAGAAGTCCTTTCCAGTTAGGTCAGTGCTCTTGGTTGGGAACCACTAGTTGAGAACACTCTCTTGGGTCTCCAAGCTCTACTCTGCCCATCACAGCACAAATTAGTGCTGGATGTCTTCCTAACTCTGTGCCTTACAGAAAAATAACGTGTGAATTATTGCACTTTGGCCCCCATGCCTTTTTATTCAAGGTCATAGCACTTTTGGGGGCAGATTCTGCCATAAGTGGCATTTATTTCCCTAGTTAGTAGGCTTGCTGCAAATTTTCTGTAGAACATTATTAACATGAGTAAATGTAAATGTGACTCTAAAGGGAAACGCATAAGCCAATGTGAATAGGGATTTGTTAATCTTTTATTATGAGCACGATAACAGACTTTCCAAGTTAGGTTTTTGCCATTTGTCACTTAAAATTTGCCTTCTCTAGCAGTTGGTTGTAGTGATTGCATGAGTAGTGCCATCAAATGCTTCATCGTGTGCATGAAAGCTTTGCAAAATGCCAATAGTCTGAGATTAGGAAACTCAGTTCTTTGACCTATCAAGGAAATGAGTTTATAAATGTTGAAAGCTTTATGGGACAAGCAAGCTGCATTTAGTTGTTAAGGAGAATAACAGCTGCCATGTAACATTTTTGTGGTTGGATCTATATGAACAGGTTTGCTTGTTTTTTTAAACTGAAATTTATTCTTTAACTCTTGTAGATCCACTTTGAGTTAAACAGTTTTGCTAAACAATGTGTTGAGATTTAGTCAGAAAACCTACACCAGTTAGGTGCTCATGGGTAGAGTATAACTATTTCCATAATGGGAAAGGGGGGATATTCTTATCAGACAGCTTTATCAGATGAGGTGATCTTTGTACATCTGGTCAATTTGTAAAATATAAAATACATAAATGTATATTGTCTAGGATGGCCTGAAACATAATAAACTTTTGGATTTAAATTTATTTAATTAAGACTTATATAGTGCTTCCCAGGTACTCTGTGAGTTAGAAATGTTAGTTGATTTAATTGTCAAAAGAACCCTAGTGTGCAAATGTAAATAGTATTTCCCTGTTCTACAGATGAGGAAAGGTGTATGCTAAGAAAGATAACTTCAGGAGTCAACTAGTAAGTGGGAAATCTAGGGTCTGAGCCCAGGTAGTTTGCTCTGGGTTCAGTGTTTCTAATGAATGCCTCTCTAACATTTAGTGAACATGGATGTCTGTTGTGTGGGCTTGCCTCTCCAGCATGCATAAACCCAACCAAAGAAAGCAGGATGGGTCGGCAGCTTATTGTTCTCTAGTTGAACAGGAGGAATCTGAAAGAGTGTTAGGAAATACTAACTCTAAGTCAAAAACGAGTAAGAAAATTGTACTTTTCTGAGGAGACACACCCATCTCTATCATCAGCCTGTACAGTAGAGTTTATTGTGTTTGATCTATCAGTTTTAATGTCTTCCATTTGCATGTGCCTGTCTCTTAGGTGTTTTGTTCTGACAGAAAGCTACGACTTCATATGCTTGGAGAATGGCGCTCCCCATCATTGTGAAATGGGGTGGGCAGGAGTACTCAGTGACCACGCTTTCAGAAGATGATACTGTGCTGGATCTCAAGCAGTTCCTCAAGACCCTTACAGGAGTGCTCCCAGAGCGCCAGAAATTACTGGGTCTCAAAGTTAAAGGTAATCTCCTCACTTTGAGGTTTCTACACTGGTGGTTATGGGTTTTCATATTTGCTGTTATGTTTTTTTTTTTTAATATGAAAGAAACTTTTTTGAGTTTCTTAAACTTGTTTCAGTGATAAATATAAGAATAATGAGCAGTTACACTACTGTTTGAATGACTTTGGGTCCCCTGATAGTATTTGCTTGGTAAGGCTTTGACACAGAAATCCCAGGTGAGAGTCATTTATTTCTGGCATCTGTGATTTACCTTTCATTATTACTTGGGCCTTGTATTCTTCCCAAATTGTCTCTTGTGTCAGAAGTGGATATTATACTTAGTTTATTGACACTGTCCTAGTATCTTTTATGTCATTGACAGGTGAATTTGGAGTAATAGAGAATCTATAATGTAGTCTTGGGCTTCAAGACTTATAGAGCAGTGCCATCTTTTTCTTGAGCAATAAAACAGGAGTTGGTTTTGCTTAGGTAGTCCACTACCAGGCCAGATGGGACACAGGTTGACAACCCTTGTATTACTTGTGACTTACTATGCTAGATACATATTCAGTAGTAGCATTTTTTTTTTTCCTGTAAGAAAGGAACAAAAGAAACCCAAATCTACTGGACTTGTTCATGTTTGGCTTTTATGTAATGGAATAGTGGAACTAGCGTTTGAACTTTAGTGAGAAAACAGTCATTTGCTTGTATTGTAGGCAAACCTGCAGAAAATGATGTTAAGCTTGGAGCTCTCAAACTGAAACTAAATACTAAAATCATGATGATGGGAACTCGTGAGGAGAGCTTGGTAAATGTTTACTTTTGTTACCATATGTCCCTTTGAAGGTGTTATGATATACACTGTACTGTTATAGCATAGTTTTAATTGTGGTAAAAGTTTCCATCTTATGATCAGTGAAAAATAACTGCACGATGAATATGGTATTAACTCAGCAGAGCTAAGTAGTGGGGACTTTTTTAGTATATAGTAAGTATAATGTAGCATATGTGGTAAAATTTAACATGTCAGATCTGCCCAGGGGACATACAGAGCAAGTAATTAACAGTGGAAATTTTCCCACGGTGTGTGCTTAAGCTCAGATTGCCAACATGTGTTACAGTGAAACACACTTTCCTTTCTTAATAGGAAGATGTCTTGTGTCCTCCCCCTGACAATGATGATGTCATCAACGATTTTGACATTGAAGATGAAATAGTTGAAGTAGAAAATAGGTAAGTGCTCTTGGCCTTCAAAGATATTGTCATGTGAGAAGAGAGAGGATTTTCATCTGATCTTACCTTTCCTGTTAGGGAAGAAAACTTACTGAAGATCTCTCGCAGAGTCAAGGAGTACAAAGTGGAAGTGCTGAACCCTCCCAGGGAAGGGAAAAAGCTTCTGGTGCTGGATGTTGATTATACATTATTTGGTGAGTCAGTTTTTCCCCCCAGCAACTCCGTGTTCACATGAAGTATTTGAAAGCTTCCCTTATTGTTAAAAAATAAATCATTAATCTGGGAAATACAGATAACCAAATGAAGGCATTACCTATTCTTTTAAGAACCAAATATGAGCCGGTCAGTGGTGACACACACCTTTAGTCCCAGCACTCGGGAGGCAGAGGCAGGCAGATCTCTGTGAGTTCGAGACCAGCCTGGTCTACAAGAGCTAGTTCCAGGACAGCCTCCAAAGCCACAGAGAAACCCTGCCTCGAAAAACCAATAAAAAAAAAAAAAAGAACCAAAGATGATCACTTTTAATGTTTTGATTTTTGTTTGTTTGTTTATGTGTATCTCCTTTTTTTTTTTTTTTTTTTTTTTTTTTTTTTTTTTTTTTTTTGGTTGCTGTTTGCTTTGAATTAAATATGTATTGTGCTGGCTAGTTTTTAATGTCAACTTGATTTAAGCCAGGGAGACGGAATCTTAATTAATTAAAACAAAATGCCTCCATACAGTTGGCCTGTAGGCAGCCCTGTGGTGCATTATCTGATGGATGATCCATGTGGAAGGGCCCAGTTTACTATGGGTGCCTTCCCTGAACTGGTGGTCCTGGGTGCAGGCTGAATAAGCCAGGGGAGCAAGACAGTAAGTGGTATTCTTCCATGGCTCTGCTTCAGTTCCTACCTTGAGTTCCTGCTCTGATTTCTCTCCTGAGAGCTGTTTAAGAGCTTTTTGGTCATAGTGGTTTATCACAACAATCAAAACCCTGACTAAGCCATATACCTAAAAATATTTATATATATACATAGGTTATTTGTGGGGACATAGGATGATGATGTGCCATAATTTAACCAACTTAACCCTGATTGACACTTTTATGAGGACTATTTTAAAAATAGTGTTTTATATTTTACCCTTGTTTTCTATCTAAATATATTCAGGTACCTTTCTTAAATTTAAAATTAGTCATGTCAATTGAAAAAGAAAGACATCTTCTAGTATTGGCAATAAATACTTTGTGATTGGTAAAGTTTTCTTGCTTATAACCCTAAATGTTAGATGTGTTTTAACTTAATGTGCACTTTGCTCAAGAATTAGTCAACTGATTGTACTTGAATAGTGAAATTGATTTTCTTAAGATGATGGGTATATGTGAGTATGGGGGCCTCACTTACTGTTTGTTGTTGTGAATCATATTCAAACTAGATGAGAAAAAAAATGTACAGTGGTCCTTGTAAGCCTGAATTTTCAGTGATGCTCTTTGTGTGATTCACAGAATTGATCCACTGAAACTGCCGTTCAAGGACATTAAGTTCTGCGCTTGTAAAACATAGGCTCATCCTCAGTGTCCTTAGTCTCAGGCTATTTACAGTTGTGTATATTCTATCCCATGATAGATTACTTTTTTATAATAGCTTCATTTTACCCAGCACTTGTCCCTGATAATAAACTAATAATTATTTTTATGATCCATTTTCTTTTAGATCATAGGTCTTGTGCAGAGACTGGGGTAGAGTTAATGAGACCATATCTTCATGAATTTCTAACATCTGCATATGAAGATTATGACATTGTTATTTGGTGTAAGCTTAATTTTTTTATTAGATTTCTATGGAAATAAGGATGTTTCTTATACTGTTCTACGTTACAAAGCATACTTTAAAAAGACTTGTTTAAATGTGAATTTTTTTTTTAAGTAAATTTCTAAAATGATGCTTGACTTTCTTATGTCATTATAAGAAGTACATGTATATTTTCTTAATAGTAAGAAGATAGTTGAATATAGGACAAGAATAGGCCATGGTGTTAAAATAAAAGTGCTTATTTATTTGTTTTTGCAGTGCTGGGAATTGAACTAGGGATCTTTTGTAGTCTAGAGACACACTCTGCCACTGAGCTATTTTCCCAGCCCTTAATCCTTAATACCTCTCCCTTTTTTCCTTAATCTAGTTTCAAAATATTTGGAAATAGGCATTTCAAAAAAAAAAAAAAATCTTAGTGATATAACTGGACAGAAATAAAGAACAGTGTGAATTGCATAAGGAAAAATTAATACATGACAGAAGCAGTGCTCCTGATGTTGAGGTCTGTGGACATTCAAGGATATGTAGACCCATGTTGGATCATGAGTTTGCTGCAGAATAGAAACTTGATGTATTACTAAGGTCACACTTTGAGTTCAGTTGACATTTATCTTCCCATTTCTTGATAAATGAAGCAGTGCATTGATTGACATCCCCTTGTAGACATTTTTAATTACTTCTTGGCAATTTCATAATCAGAGTTCCCATGAGTGGAATAAGATCCCATCAAGTATAAAAGTTCCCCATGAAATTGTTAGGTATTTGATGAGAAGCCAGATAGTTGGGTGCAGTCTGTACGCTTTCCTTTGTATACTTTGTAGAGTATATCCCTTGTTTACTGATACTGAGTTCACAACTGTTAAGATTACAAACAAGGTGAAAATGTGGTAATTTCATTGTTCAGCTTGGGAGAAGAGAGCTCAGTGAAGCAATTTTTTGTTGTTGTTGTTGTTGTTGAGCACCTCTGACATCAGAGAAAAAAAGAAATCCTATGAATGTTATTAAGTTAGAACTTAATATTTAGAAAACCTTTATAGTCACATATTTAAAATATTGTTGGTAAATTATTTTATGGTTGTGGGTTGAAAAGGGATACTTCCTTTAGAGCTAAATACAGTAGGATATTGTGTCCTTTGTGAAATCAGGCAGGGCATTTAATCTCTGTGAACCTTCCTTTCTTCTCCTAGAAGTAGTAACTTGACCTGTATTTAGGTTGAGGTAAGAATAGATGTACCAGGATAGTAACTAACACTGTCACTAACGTACAATGATGCCTTAACAGTGAATGATTGTCTTACTCTGTGTGTCTCCTTGTTTTTCATCTGGAAATTACATGTTCAGAGCAGGTACTAAGTTAACTTTTTTCTTACGATTGTTTTCATTGCAAATACAACACTCTAAACTAGTTTTACGGACCAATTCTGCACGTGAAGTGTAAGTCAAGACCAGGAGAGCATGTGAAGATGAGGATGACTTTTGTGTCCGTAGTTGTGTCGGCTAATGTCTGTTGCTGCAGACATGTAATGTAGCATAGGGGGCTTCATACATTTGTTTCAGGTTTGTTTTTAAGATGCTGGGTTTAATGAGCTTCATTTGCTAAGCCTAACAAAGCCTGGCTAATCTTCCACACAGACTTTTGACACAAACCATTAGTATGTTTATACTGACACCTTATGTGCTTGCGCATTGCCTGGATCCCCTGCCAGAGAAGATCCACACATCTCAAACTTTAGAATGAACAAAGAACAGTGACAGGACTGTTTTAAAAGTAGTTTGGGCTTTAGTTTATCATGGTTACCTCTGTCATACACATAAAAGTTGCTTAAGTATTATTCTTTCTAGAGGACACACTAAAGTAAGTTTATTAGGGACCATTATTTATGATGTTTTTAAAGTTGTAGTCTTGTTTAAAAAGCTTATTTATTCAGAAGAAGTTTTTTTTTTTTTTAATGAAACTCAAACTTTTCATGTGTATTGTATTATTCCTCATGTTTTAGCTGCAACAAATATGAAGTGGATTGAAGCTAAAATGAAAGTAAGTGTTAGAAACAAGCATTTCACAATGTTTTGAAATCACAATTGACAGATCAAAGATTCTAGAACCTAGTCAATTTCATTTTTACTGGCTGTCTTAATAGCTACAGAATGCCAGTAGTGGGAGTAGAGGTGTGTGTAAGCCTGCTTAGTGATGGGTTGATCTGAGTGCCTAAGCTGGTTCCAAGGAAAAGCTCAGCCCCTTTTGACCTTCCTTATACTCCAATATTGTCTGCTTTGTCCTTTGCTCTAATGTGTTATACTGATGCGGTGATTCATTCTAAAATGGCCACTTCGGATTTACTCACTGACACAGTTCAGCAAAACAAATGCTTTCCAGTTGTTACAAAATGTGGCTGCCGTTGCTGTAGAAAAATGGCATTTGCAGAAATTGCATTGGCATTTTGAGAAATTGCAGGTAGAATGTTCAGAAAGCCTGGGATTTTCCACACTTGTATTTTAACCTTATGAACATTTGTATTACAGGAACTGGGGGTGAGCACAAATGCCAATTA